TCTCTCTATTTTCCCTCGTTCTCTCCCTCTCTCTTTCTTTCTTTCTTTCTCAACCCCTCTCCCCCCTCTTCTCTCACCAATCTCTCACCCCCCTCTCTCTATGTCTCTCTCTTTGTCTTCCCTATCTCCCTCCCCCTCTCCCCCTCTCTCTCTCTCTAAAGCAGGGTTTGTTGTTCATTGCTGTGTATGTCTCCATGCGAGCTCACCATGTGCGAATGCCTAGAAACATTCTGCGGGTATGTTATTTGCAGCTACGCTTTCTTTACCTACTAGAAAATGCGTTGTATGTAATGTGATGCGATGGGCTGTGATCAGGTGTGAGTGTATGATGAGATAGGATAATAGATAATAATGTAGACAGGAGTTATATAATAATATAGACAGGAGTTATATAATAATATAGACAGGAGTGACTATATTATGACACTTGCGATGTGATGCGATGTGATTGTAATCATGAATGTCGTTAGTGATCAACGTGCAGGCGTCCTGTTTTTACGTCGTTCATATCGAAATATTCTGGAAAACTGTTCTTGGGGGGATGCAGCTGCTAATACCGGCGAAGAGAAGTCTTCACAGAATTTATACAAAACATCGATCGGCGGTACACGACAACCGACGGAAACTTGGGAAAATTAGTTTTGTTTAGCAAATTCATTGCTTTTTTGGCATCCAGCGTTTTACCCTTACTGTTAAAAATAGTTTAAAATACCATAACATAGTGAAACTGAGCATGCGTGAAGCAACGACGGCGGCGTGCATTCATGCCTTCTATGTTGTCTATGATAATGTGTTTTAGCATTTAAATGTAAAGCCTCAGTGAGACGTAGTTAACATGAAATACAAAAAGTTCGTAGAGAGTCTAAGAGAGCGCGCGCGCGAGAACGAGGGAGAAAGAGGGAGAAGGGGAAGGAGAGGGGGAGAGAGAAAGAAGGAGAGGGAGAGAGGGAAGGAGAGAGTGAGAGAGAGAGAGAGAGAGAGAGAGAGTGCGAAAGAAGAGAGAAGAGAGGTTATCTAAGATTTTGCTGTGAGGCTGAAGGATTCTACGGGCCGTTCCGTACTAGAAATATTCTAGGTGTTGGTTTGCCGCGTGTGGTAATCGTACAGTTACCGTCTGCAGTTGTGAGGAGGAATTGGGCAAGAAACTCAAGTCATAGGTCTATGCCTGTGACCTATACCTGTAGAGATGTTACGATATCATAGAGCACAGAGATTTTCAGAGTAGGTGTGGTGAAGTAATGTATTTTCAATGTAAAATAATTGTAAATCATGAAGAAGAATACCCACAATGACCGCGTGCACTATTAGTATACATAGGGCTTCTTTCTCTGCGGGATTCCTCTCTCTCTGCTGTAGAACCCCCGTAAGGAATTAACGACAGCAGCAGCAGCGGCGGCTATAGGGAGTGAACTTTAACGATGAGCGTAATAATGCTGCCTGCTTGTATAAAGTGTTTGTTTTTACTGCATGTGCCGATCCACACACTAGTACGGAATGTTCGTGACGGATATGGCAGCTGGCTGCATCCCGAATGTAAATATGGCGACCACCTCTCCCTGCCACCGTCTCCCTGCCACCCTCTCCCCGCCACCTTCTCCCTGCCACCGTCTCCCTGCCACCCTCTCTCTGCCACCGTCTCCCTGCCACCCTCTCCCTGCCACCCTCTGCCCTGCCACTCTCCCTTGCCACCCTCTCCCTGCCAACCGTCTCCCTGCCACCCTCTCCCTGCCACCCTCTCCCTGCCACCGTCTCCCTGCCACCCTCTCTCCGCTACCTCTCCCTGCCACCCTCTCCCTTAACACAACGTCTGTATCCCGTCAAACGCTCCCGCATTACCCTCTTTCTCTATCTCGCTTGTCTTTCTGTCTCTTTTTGTCTCTCTCGCTCTCTACTTCTCTCTGTCTCGCTCTCCCCGCCTCTCTCACTCTTGCTTTCTCTTTCTCTCTGTATGCGTCTCTCTCTCTCCCCGCCTCTCTCTTTCTCTCTCTCCATCTCTTTTTTTTCTCTTTCTTTCTCTCTCTGTCTCCCTCTCACTCTCTATCTTCCGCCCTCGCTATCTCTCTTTCATAGCCAAGACGGTGATTATTGCCACATGGTGTGCGTCATGTTATTAGATGAGCTCCCGCTATGAGGGTGTGCGCATTCAGAAGGGCGGGGTTAAGTGCCGGTCTCAACTTCTCAACTCTCATGTCAACATCTGTGCCGTCACTGAGATTTGTTCTCGTACCGCGCGCTTTATGTTTCTGATTGCATCGTCTCGATCCCGCTCGCGTGAGATTCCGCCATACTACACTATCGACGTGTCAGCTATCCGAGCTGACCACCTATATATAATATCCTTGCAGTTACCCGCTAGTGCTTCTGGCAAAAAACGCTTTATTTGTACGTATAGGTAGGTAGTAGGTACACGCACACGCACGCACGCGCGCACACATACGCACGCGTGCACACATACGCACGCGCGCACACATACGCAGTGTTACGCACGCACGCACACATACGCACGCACACACACGTAGATGATATTTTATAGGTCACACATTCACTTACGAATTCTATCAACGGGTTTTCTAATCGGCGAATTAGTGAGCAGGTTGTAAGAAGATGAACGCCCGAGGGCGTTCCTTATGTGATCGATTTCAATCAGTTGCTGCGAGTCGGTTTGATTCTGGGTCGACCTCTATCATGAGATTAAGGTCGAAGCTGTTTAGTTATATCGTATAAAAGACTCACTGTCCAGTGGCACTATATTACACATTAGTTTTGGGCACATCAAGCGTGATTTCATATCGGTAGTCAGAGACCTTTCACGTCATTAGCTTTTGGGCGAGGTATCATGATCACTCCACAATTAATATCACTCCCCTGTGCTCGCTAACCACTGAGCCTCTCGCTGCTGCGTGGTTGCCATGGTGACAATAATCATCATCGGCGGTCGTACACGGCACGCGGTGAGAGCATGTGTCGAGCACGTGACAGGATATGACGATGATGTCGCAGGATGTTTGTCACCAGGTGACACCGATCCCAGGTTGTCGTTGTTGACGTCACGCAGTAATCCTAATGCTTATGAGGGGGGATGGGAGAAGGGGGGGGGGGAGGAGGCTCACACATCCTACATATCCACACATTAATAGCATAGAGCATTTATGACACTGAACAACGAAGGAGGGATTGAGTGTTATCGTACGCTGTTGTTGATTATTCTTTTGGTATCGTTATATATCATAGTATTTTTTATTTATGGATTCATTCTCTTGCATAACACTCTAATATCATTTGCCACCATCACTGTTCATTGCAACTACAAACACTCGTCCGATTTGAATCGTTGATTTTGTCTTCCATGTTTTCTTTCCATTTTATCTGATCGGCATTTATTTTTCTGTTCACAGCTTCATCAAGCAGTATAGTCAGGCGGCGGACGTTCACCGAGCTTTTGCTCTCGACAAGAAGCCATCCTCACCTCCCCCGCCGCCCGCAGCAGCAGAGGCAGTGTCCGACGGTCAGACCAACGCGAAGTCCGCAGCGAGACCGCTAGAGGCGCCCTACTCCCGGCACATCGAATTTCGCAAGTCGGGAGAATTCACTCGCATCGGTGATGAGTGGCACCCCGAGGTCGCCGCCGCCGTCGGCAACGGTTACCGCGACGACGCCGTGTCGCCCGCGTCCGCGCGTCTGCTGCTGAGTAACCATGGTTACGCGAGCTCGTCTGACGCGAGCAGCAGCATCTCGGAGCAGCCGCGAGGCGAGGACTCGTTAGAGGCGGACAGGTATCGTCTGACGGTTGCCGTGGACGACGACGGAGGCAGCTGCGATCGGGAGAGCGAGTGTTCGAGCCCGGACCTCCCGCTGCCCCCGCCCCCTCCCCCGCCGGACTCGGACGAGGAGGACATGATGGAGGAGGAGCTTCCTCCCCCTCCCCCGCCCACCGTGCTCGCAGCGATCGGCGGCGCGGAGACGCAGCGCCCTCTATCGCCGATCCACATGGCACACAGAACGTGAGTGATTGCCGCCGCGCGAGGGATTGGTCGTGAAGTGAATAACAACAGAGTGCACCTTGATTAATTACTGTTAATTACTATTAATTATAATTACTGTTATATATATATAATCAAGAGCCAATAATAGCTAAGTATTATTAGCTCTTGATATAATAAATATTTCGTACTGGTATTGTCTGTGAAACCAGCTGCAGTGGGGTCTAATAGAGCAGTGCCTGAATTAACAATATTGTCTATACGCCATGACTATAATGTTAGACCTGGGTTTTTTAATGTCACTAAAATAGTTAAGAGGAAATGCTTGAGAGAAAAACACGCTGTGAAATGTGTATAAGTCCTGGTATATGTCCTTATATTGCACGTTTCGTAGAACGATGATTTTGACGTTTGTGCAGCATGAAATATTACTTCAGCGATCGTCCACAACTAAGCGTAAACCTGAGGGACTAACACGCGTGTGTCTCCCTTCTACATACAGGTACTCTAGCAGCAGCTCCTACATGTCCCACAAGAAACAGCCGGGAAGATTCGGTTTCTACGGCAACTACCACCGCAGCTACCCGTCGCTGTTCCCCGAGCCGTCGCCGCCGCTGCCGCTGGCGCCCTCTCTGACGGAGGACGGCGGTGGCGGGGTGACGCGAGCGCGCGTGGGTAAGGCGGGAGCCACGGTGATATTCAGCAGTGACTCGGGCGAGCGGCCAACGCACGTCAACTGCGCTAACGAGGAGATCGAACACACTTCGGTCAGCGCCACCGTCGCAAACTTCGAGAAGGCGTCGACGACGGTGGCGGCGCCCCCTGGCGACCGGCGCGCGGAGTCGTTCAGCGGCTACCCGTCGTACGCGCGCACGCGCAGCAGTGGCGCCCTCCCGGACGTGAGGGAGCACGCGGCGGCGATGACGACGCGGGCGTACCGGCGCGCGCGCAGCGACCGCATCCCGGACCTCCTCGTCGTCGTCTCCGACGAATCCGGACAGGAGTCGTCGACGACGGGAACGGACTCGCCGGGCAGCATGTCGTCGCCACCGCCCTGCGACCCGGGTCGCGCGTCGCCCACGGCAACGACGAAGACGAGGCTGCGGCCGGACATCCGGCTCAAGCTCTACACGAACCAGCCGCTCGTTAACGGCAGCAGCGGAGGCAGAACCCCGCCGGACCCTCGCCTGCTGTCTCCGCCGGGGATGGACGGAGGGGAGGCGCCGCGGTGGCGCGCGCGGTCAGAGAGTCCGTCGCCGACGGCAACGCAGCAGCAGCGGCGACCGTCGGAGGAGGAGCGCCATCTACGGGCGCTGTCGAACGAGATCGCGAGTCACACGCTCGACAGGAAGCTGTCTAGCATCCTGCGGACGGACGCGGAGGACAGGTCGATGTCTGATTACATCGCGGGGATGTTTGACGTGATGCCGCGCACGCGGCAGCAGCAGCAGCAGCAGCAGCAGCAGCAGCAGCAGCAGCAGCAGCAGCGGCTGACGACCAGCAAGTCGTTCACGGCCGGCGAGGGACAGAAGTTGGCGAAGACAACCCTGACGTGAGTGTGCGCTGCTGTCGCTGCCGCCGCCGTCGTAACCGTTCACTTGTCATGTAGTGTCACGATCGTGCGACGGTTCGATTTACCATCGTAGACATTGCATGTTCACTTGTCACATAGCGTCGCGACTGAGTCGATTGTTTCGATGCTAGAGATGAGTTGAGATGATTTTAGATTGAGAATGGTTGCAGCTGAATGTAAACTGTCACCCTTAGTACAGGTACAGCTTTGTACAAAATTCCTCTTTTTTTTACTAGAAAGAACAAGTTTCGGTAATTACACTTAATTCGATGTTCTTGTAACTGCCTCGCCGCGTTTTATGAATGAACGACTGGCGACGATTTTTATAGCCCAAGATGATTTCTAAGAAGAGCATCCCGTTTTAATTAATTATCTTCCCTAGTAGTCGATGGCGTTTTGATTTTTTTCTGGTTTGGTATGAACATTAGCTGCAGTGTAAAACGCGAACTGTGCGGAATGATGCTTATGTGTGTATGTATGTATTTTTAGGACGAGTAGTTCTTCTCAACTTCCACTGTCAGCTTACTACCAAACCTCAGAACCTAAAGCGAAGCTGATGACACGAATGAACTCTGAGAAATCTCTACAGAACAGCATGCAGCCCATCGACGATGCAGAGATCACAACCAAAAAGGTGCGTGCGTGTTGCAAATATCAAAGTTCCGCGACAGTTTGTGCATGTTATGGAGATATTATCAAGAGCTAATATGATTATAATACATATACATGTATTATGATATATTATATTATGCTGTTGATATTGTTCTGATTATTGTAAAAGGGATGACAAAAAGTGTGTATCTCTTTTGTTCGTAATGACAGTAATAGAAACCACTAATGTAATAAATACTATGTCACATTGAAACTAGCTCCCTATTATAGTAGCATAGCTCCTAAACACGACATCTGTAAAGCATATGCTACAAGTGTATGGAAATTGTGGTCATCATGTTTACCTGTAAATGCTACTGCACATGATAAAATAATCGTAATATCCACCTTCCACCCAAAAGCACGGTAAATTTGTAGCGCATACTGTAAAATGCATGTTCGAAGAAGAACAATCGTGAAATATGAATGTCGCATAAAATCTGTTCTGACTAACGTGCGGTACCGCCGCCCCATGCATGGAAGGGTCCTTCCATTCATCCGGTCGAAGGAAAACGAATTCCCACTTAGTGTTTTGCCCGACTAGCGTGGAACATTATAGTGACAAGTTTAATCGTGCATGGCCAGCAAGCTAGCTAGCTAGCAGGTTTAACGTGCATCCCGTGACCTACATTACAAACTCGCTCGTAGGTAAGACACATACACACACAAACACGCACGCATGCACACACGCCCATACAACACACACACACACACACGCGCGCGCGCACGCACACACACCCACGCCCGCACTAGGTAGCAGGAACCTGCGACCGGAGCGTGCTCGCTGGTTTACTGCACATCCTGCTGTTTTCAGTTGTTTGTTGTATTGACCATGACTCAGATCTGTACCTGTACTGTACGGCATGCCTTGAATTCGTGCACCTGATCGTAAACCAATGTAAAACCCCCCACACACAAAATTCTCTATGTACATTGTGTTGTCTGAACGGGAAATAGTCAAACACTAGTCCATAACCTGTCATGAAAATCCTAAATATACGGAGGATATGTACTTGGCCTTAATATCTGTTCTCTGGTGAATCATGTCAAAGCTATAAACTGCTTTTAGATAATTTCGTAGTGGGGATTTGTGCTGGCTTACTGTGTCTGAATTCAGTATTCAAAAGTTCCACATGCAATGTAGGAAAAATAATCTTTCTCTTCCAATAACTAAATGTCATTTGTAGTATATTATCAGGAGTAATTAACAACAGGTGACTATATTGTTTATCAGCCAATAACAAGTTTAATTTTCAATTATATTCAATTACATTTTAACAAGTATAAAGCCAAACGACTGACACTCCCCTCGTAATATGTGAAGTTGGGACAAGTAAACATAATAATACAAGTATAATAATAATAATAAGTATAATAACAATAATAAGTAAAGTCCACACCTCGTTGCTACGCCCTGCCCAACAACCAACAACCTCCTACCCCACATACAAACACACTCACCCCCCATCGGTGAAGCCATCGTCGTCACGGTTACCGTCGTCTCATCCTTACAGGAGCAGCTGATCACCAGCATCACTCGGAAGCTGAAGATCGTGCGGGACGAGCAGCAGCTGATGCAGAGCGAGCTGACGGCTAACGAGGCCGTGGGCGCGCTCGTCACCTGCTGCGTGGAGAAAGCTGCGAAGCCACACCACGTCGACAAGTACAAGATGTACGTTGATGAGCTGGACAAGATTCTCAACCTTCTGCTGGGACTGAGCGGGAGGCTGGCACGCGCCGAGAACGCTCTCACAAACCTACCGCACGACGCTGACAACGAGGAGAAGGTGAGTGAAGGCTCCCTCCCTCTCTCTGTCTGTCGTCTCTTTCCTCCCCTCTCTCTCTCCGCTTCCCCCCCTCTCTCCTCTCCCCAGCCCCCCTCTCTCTCTCCTTCCCCTCCTCTCTCTCTCCCACCGCCCTCTCTCTCCCCCAGCCCCCCTCTCTCTCTCCCAGCCCCTCCCTCTCTCTCCCCAGCCCCCTCTCCCTCTCTCTCTCCTCACATATCTGCGATAATAACCCCCCTCCTCTCTCTCTCTCTCCTGTAGGCGGCTCTCATGGAGAAGCGAGACAAGCTGAGCTCTCAGTACGACGAGGCGCTGAGGTTGAAGGAAGCCATCGACCGCCGCAGCCGCAGCCTCTCCGACGCTCTGCAGCACTGCCTCACCCAGGACGAGTTCTCCGATTATGAACACTACGTACGCATGAAGTCCAAGATGATCATCGATTCACGAGAACTAGATGACAAGATCAAGCTGGGGGAGGAGCAGCTGGCAGCGCTGATGGCCGGCCAGTGGTGACCACGGATGATCGACAGTGACCACGAATGATCACGGATGATCAATCGTGATCGATGGTGACCATGAATGATCAATGGTTACAAGAGATCAATGGTTATCAGCGATCGATGGTGATCTGTGATCGATGGTGGCGGCTGCTGCGACTGTGATTTGTCGATGACAGAGACGGGATATACGAAAAATTTCGTGAAAGAATTGCTCATAATTTATTTAAGAAGAGAACTAGCGTGTACGCGTGCTCGCGACGTTGGCACTGTCTAGTCAGACGCCCTATGGTTGGTGAGTGTCCCCCTCAGGATTGCAACACTAGTGGTGATTCGCTATGGTATGCACTGCACAATGTAACAGTCAGTGATTGGCTGCGGCCAACAGATAGTGGTAAGTACCGATGTTAATTGACTAACGGAAGATGTAGCTATGTAGCAGCCGATGCTTCCGGAACATACGATGCTAATACAAATGAATGCCATGTTAAGAGGAGAAACGCGTGTACGTGATTACTGGTGTATTTTAACGCGCGCGCATGTAGTTGTGCCTAAACCTGCTGTATGAATCCCATGATTAAACGGTATCGAGGTTTTGCATTAGGTATACGTTTAATCGCTTGATGACTGTTTAAACCGTTTTGCGTACGTGCGTTGATTGCTAGGGATAACTGTACAAAATTTCCATTGTAAATATTCGAGGTGTGACCAGTTATTGGTTTTTTTTAATCATACGTTGTAAGGTGTTTGTTTATATGAGCAGAAAACGTTCGATTTATATTTTTTATTATTATTTAATCATGGTGTTTGCAGTGCAAGGGGAGTGAACGCCATTGAAAACACAGCACTACTACGTGCATATTGATATTTTGTTATCAAGCCAGATGGAAAACAACAACCAAATAGACATATCAGCGTATCTGACCGCGGTAATCAAGCAGAGACTGCTCTCTGCTTCCGTTGCCATGGGAGATTATGTTTTGGTTTATATTCATGATAAAAGTGGGTTCGTTGGTGTAGATTGTGTTAAAACTGCAGCTACTGCAGTCTTCATTGTCTCAGCACCCAGCCACACTGTATACAGTCCCAATGTGAGTGGATAATTTTTGTTTAGTGTTATATTCATGTTCCTACGCATCGTAGCCACCCCCTGACTTAATACGTGCATTTAGAACTTTATTTTTTTAGTTTCTTCTCTACTAGACGGTTCTTCTCAAACTTCTCCGATAATTTAGTTCTACTGCTTGTTTGTGCATGTTGCGGATTTAAGTTTGTATGTACTAGCTGTGTGACACCCATGCTTCGCTGTCTAGGCATGTTCTACACTAGCAGCTTGAATAGGATATTATATTATGGAAAAGTGAGTAGCAGAAAAGAGTCGTGCATTTAATCTGGCACTGAATATTTGGAGGTGTAGATTCGTATGAGAATGATCAGAGCTATCACATTTTTTTACAAATTCTCTAACGTGACAACATTGATTACGTCGTAGTATAAAAGTTATGAAATCAGTTTACAAATATACAATAATTGTACATTGCATTTGTTTAGTGATTCAGTCAGAAATACATTTAACATTAAGCACATGGTTTTGTATTCCGGACCGTTTGTTATATCCATGCAAAATAAAATGTATACTGTTAAAAACAAAGAAACCATATTTATTCTATGCAAATTGGAGCAAACGTATAAGAACACTCAGTACTCCACGAATGTAAGACGTTTGTAAACGTGTGTACACAAATCGTTTATTTACAGAACCTTTTAGTAAAATATATACGTGAAGGCAACAGCCGTACAATTTTTTAGCCATGTATAAGAGGTATACCATTGGTCAGAGTGAATGTTCTTGTAAACATCTAATAATCTAGGAACATAAATAGGCCAGGACAGTTCTCAACAGCATATCATGATATCTGGCTGCTGGTAATAAGTACTGGTACTCAGTGTGTTTGAATGTCATTAACTGTAACCTAGCAATAATACGATATCAATCACACATGCGTAATCTATTTGCAGCGAATTTCGTTCAAATTACTAGATGTTACATTTGAAATTAGTTGATAGTTCAAACAATCCTAAAATATGAGCACCAGTAAAAGAAATACATTTTTATGCCATTCATAATTTCATTACTGTACATGCCTGGCAGGTTATGTGCACTCTCCAACCTTCATCTCACCATAATAGATAAGTTGAAAACAAACAACAAAGATACTGTATGATAAGCTACATAAAGGCTTTCAAATTTTTTTCGAATATTCTCTCTAATTTCGTGAGAGACCTAACCAACTTTTTGTTTGTGAAATTCAATAATTATTACTAGTGCTGAAGGGGTCGTTGTCGTATCAGGTACTACAGATATGTACCTGAGGTACATATATGTATACACAAAGTGTACCAGACTTGTACTACAGAAGTGTACCCTAACCCTAACCCTAAACATACCTCGTATAAAAATATAAACATAATACTAAACAACCCAAAACTACCTCGGGTACGACACCATCTGCATTGCTAGTATGTACAATTTCAAAAATAAGGGTACAGCGCCATCTAGGGAGGAAGTTTTCCCTTTTCACTTCATCTAGCAGTAAACAAACAATTCCATCAATTTCCTAGAATATACAACATACACCACAAGAATAACACAATGATAACACCACAAGAATGATACATATATAATATACAAAATCGAGTTAGATGAATGAAGTTAATTAGTACAACAATAAAGAAGGCAACATGCCTTGTTTAAATTTAATTATATTCTTACTGTTTTACATAAACAAAATGCACAAATTAGATGTTTTTTTGCATCATGGTAGAAAAACAATTTAACAGATAAAAGAAAATTCATTAGCACTAGGTTTTACCTAGTCATTTGTGATAAATGAAAAGACATAGAGGTAAACGTTAACCATATGGCAATCTCAATCGCCAACCAGATTCCAAAACAACCAATAACCATAGTCCGCTGGCAGGATTGTTGTTATAATTCATGAAGTTGTTCGTTTTTGTATCGGGACATTGTTAAATCTAGCACTGTGTACTCTTTCCTAAAGCACCATTTGCAAATGTTTCATCCCACTTCAGAATTCCTATTATCAATTCTCCGACATACAAGCATATCAGATCTGGCAATATTTACACAACTGCTAAACTCATACAATGGACACAGATTGCCAAAAGAATGTAAGTGTTAACAAAGTGATACATCAGGTTGAGCTGTAGCAATAGGCGACGATATTTTTCTAGAAGCACTTCATGTGGAGATTGTATCAGTATGGGCTGATATCAGGATAGATGCATCCTATTAATGACGCACTCAAAAGAGGCGATGTGGAACGTGTATCCTAATATTAGTTCACATTTTCGCCTGACAAAGCGACAAAGTGGTTTCAACTTACGTCATTGTTGTCTCTGCCATCCACCTCCTGGTGCACAGCTGCCATACACTGAGCATCAATGTCAGAAAAATCGATAACGATCCTATTCCGGGAAGGCTTGTATTGCCTGAATCCGAGAACACAAAAGCAAAACGTGAGGTGACCACCTGGAGAAAACTAGGGAAGAACATGGAAGCAGTGCTCCAACTGTCACCTACAACCTGACATGTTGCACCGACTGGTTAGTAGATTGGTTCCCAACTCCTTTTGTGCCAGAAAAAGATGCTGAACAAATCTAACAGCACTACCCCGCAGTACAAGGGTGCACACTAGTGACAACTGTAGCAAATCAGCTCAAATATTAGTTAATATAGTTGGCAATAGTTTACATTAGTCCCAGCAGCTCTTTTCGCACCAATACAGACAAGAGACCCTACTTCGATTTCACCCGCATGCAGTTTTATCTTTGCCATGCCTCACTTAATCGAATCGCAGCCTCATACCTGGGGCTAACGAGGAAAACATTACCTGAACACGCCACGCCTTACCTGAACGTAATACCCATCCATTCTGCATTATTATATTTAATAACGTCAAATTATATCCGTCTATACTATCATTGAACGTGACTCTAGTGTAGTAACCCTTTTAACGAATCATGGTCTCACACCTGGCGCTAACGAGGGAAGCGTTACCTGGACGCACCACGCCTTACCTGACCGTGACTCCGGTCATCGTGAACAGCCTCTGTGATGCGACGTACTCCGGCTTGCAGCGGTTCTTGTCGGAGTAGTAGACGACATCGCGGATTCCGGCTTGGATGATGAGCTTCGCACACTCGTTACACGGGAACATGGCGACGTACATCGTGCAGCCCTTCACATCCGCAGAGTTTTTATTCATGATCGCATTCATCTCTGCGTGGCACACTGCATGCATCACATCAATAATTATTATTATTACGCGTACGCACATCACATTATTAACGATTATTATTATTATTATTATTGTTATGATAATGAAGATTTGCTTCATTGTATCTTGTTCATTAAATGAGAAATGTTGGCAATAATGAACTAACTAATAATGAGTCAACATACTCATACGAAGAATAGTCTACAAACGTGTGCAATATTACCATAAAAAAATCTCGCTTTTAACTTTACAAATGAGACAGCTACGGCACGTACAGGGAAAGGCTTCATAACTAATTGTCTGTGTGCAGTGTGCACGTACATACCATATGGATATTTCCTATCAAGCCAGTCTTCACTGTCTTTGCCCCAGGGTAAATCATCGTCCGGGCAGCCATTTGGCATGCCGTTGTATCCGATTCCAACAATCTTGTTATCAGGGTTAACGATGCACGCGCCAACCTAGACAAATAAGGTCATTGTCCTTATATACCAGATGGATCTTTCCTCACGTAAATGTTTCAACCAATTTAGCAGGTAGTGACTTCATAGCTTTAGATTAGATACTATTACTCTACCCAGTACTTCCATGTCTAACACATTAACTGTAAAAAGCAAAACATCAATAGCATTTTCCTGGTAGTTTGTACACTATAAACGATTTTGAGCACATTAGATTTCAAAGAAAATTCTGACAACCTGATAGATAATAGACAAATTATTCATTTTAGAACTGATACACATACAGGCACTAACATGCAGCTTTTAATGTTATCATCGCAATGCAGTTTACACTATAGTGCTATAGTGCACAATAAAGCCAGCAGTTATGTTAAAGAGGATAAAGCCACAGCCTGCAGATTTAGCGTGGCCCTATTATAACGCGATCGTTAAAGTCCATAAAATGTCATCGCGAAACAAGCGGGTCGCGCTAAATCGGGGTTCAAGAAAATAAGCGTATAAACTGACCCAATGTTGACCTAACATCCTACATGTCAACACAAATTAGCTTTTAGTAAAGCGAACAATGTGAATAAAACAATGCATACAGTCATGTACACAACACACACACACACACACTGCAACAAGTCATGTAAACTCATTTAGTAGCTCGATCTATAGACAATCGTCGCTTCGACCTTAACTCACCAAAAAAATTTTCAGTTCCTGAAAGATAAAAAAAACGCTGTGGCTATATGCCCGGCAGCCGGCACCCTAACCCTCCTGTTTACTTGAGAAATCACCGAAAATTAAAAACTGCCGGGCATTTAGGAAATCGAAGACCGTGCCCGGCAGCCGTCGGATATTTTATAAGTGTCGATTGCGAGTTCGTTCGCTCAGTGATCCGAAGCTAGGAGAATTGGGCTAGTTCGAATATACAGCTCTAACAAAAATTGCTTGACATTTCTAAACAAATGTAGAATACTTTGGATCACGTAGTACACTGTTTACTTGAGAAATCACCGAAAATTAAAAACTGCCGGGCATTTAAGAAATCGAAGACTGTGCCCGGCTGCCGGGCATATAGCCACTTCGTAAAAAAAAAGGTCCAATAACTCATTGCGTTATATCGTGGCACGTAAAATCGGGGTTTCACTGTACCTACCTGTGTACTTGGGTCTTTACTTCTTTGTGCTGAAAGGAAGGCCACTGCCATGAAATAGTCTGGCCACTCAATATACTCGGTTCTTTTCCTTGGATACTGTTTCCTGAAATAAACCGAAGAACATCACCATACTTGTATTTAGGTTGTAAGTTGTATTTAGCTAGGCATTAGATAAGGTCTCAGACCAATAATTGATGCCTTGCATGTACTGTAGTGAAGTTACATCTCTATGGCGTTTAACGAAAGCATTTTAAATGTCATCGTTTACTTGGTGGCAGAAAACACGTTTAACCAGGGTAGGACATTTCCGAAAAATTACAGTAGGGGCGCCAGACTTGATCCCCAGGACCCGGTTCCACAGTCGTGGATTAACTCTTAACTCAGAGTTAAATTCCGTTTCACAGTCGTGGATTAACTTTAACTCTGAGTTAAATATGCCTAACTCAGAGTTAAAATTTAACTCTGGTTCGAACCTGGATTAACTCTTAACTCAGGGTTAAAAATGGCTGATTTTTACCTTTTTAACGCCCCAGTTCCCGAAAAACAAAAAGAATATCGCAAACACGACGACCACTTCAACATCATGACTGATCGCGAATTGTACGACAGATATAGGTTTTCGCGGCAGGGTCTTGAAAGATTGTTTGGACTTATTGGTGATGAGTTGCCAAAGATATACTCGCAGAGAGGGATGCCAGTACCCAAACACTGGGTGCTGTTAATGGCCCCACCCTTTGCTTTGCGATTGGTGCATTTCAACAGGTAATAGCAGACAGTTTTGGAGTGAGTAAATCCACCGTGTGTCAAGCCATCGCAGCCGTTACCGATGCACTAGTTGGATTACATTAAGGCCGGTTGATCAAATGGCCGACAGCTCAAGAGGAAGTAGCAATGTGCAAAGCTAACTTTCATAGTATCATCGCATTCGTCGGGTTTCCTGGCGTGATCGGTTGGGTAGACTGCACGCATATTAGAATTCAAGGGCCGCGTAAAGCAGTTGAGAAGGACTACGTTAACCGTAAAGGTTATCACTCTATCAATACGCAAT